GAGTCTCGAAATGTCAGAATAACCCCTGTACCATGGTGCGCTGCTCAGAAATGAGCAGCGCTTTACTCCCCAACTGTGAGTAACCGCTATTACTACCCCTGAGCCCTTGAAACATCAAGCGCCACCCATATACTGCCTCCAGAGGGAAGCGCCACCTTGAAACAGGTCTCTGAGGCCAAGCGCCTCTCAGAGGATGAAGAAGAAGACCAACGGCACAGTATCTGACGATGATGAAGTGCGAGAAGACTTCCCGGGTGGAAGTCTTTAGCAGCGCCACCACTCCTGACAAAGATGATCTCTGAGGAAGACAAGCTGCAGCTATGGCTGCAGCGCCACACAGTCTGACACCCTACTCCTGAGGAGGGTTCAGGAGGGCACCAACTCCTCTCGCCTCCAACAGACTCCAGATAGCTCAGACCTCTCAACAGCCCCGCGTGCTGTCAGAGTCCAGCATCGGTCCCAGCTATGGCCGACACTCCGCAGGTCCAGCTATGTCCGTCTTCTCCAACGCTGAAGCTGTCACCACTTCCAGTTCACGCGTTGCACAGCAGCGACGTACACGGTACCCACTGCCAAAAGCCCTGAACCGATGTCTACCATCTATCTATACTCAACCCTAGCCTAGACGCGACCTAGACTGGACTGATAGGACTGACCGGTACCGTTTCAGTTTCGGCCTCTCGGGCCTCTCCCTACCCGGCTGTAGGTTATAGGACCGTCTGTCAGCTTAGGCCTTTAGGGCGTGTCTGTCCTAGGGGTAGCCCGGGCCTGCTATTCGCAGTCAGGGTCGCTGTAGGGAATTCGGTTAGTGCAGGACTATAATTTTCCCGGATTTGCAGATATGTCCCTCAAGAATTTCCTCACAGTCATAAATCTCGGTTAGCCCTCAGCCAACAAAATTAGGAATCTAACCTACCCATGTTACAGCCTCGGGTCGACGGGTCACCGGCGGCTGAAAACAGCAAGTCATTGCAGAAGTTTTTTTTCAGCTTTTCTTCCCACGTGGGGGTGGCAGGCCCCCACTTGTGCCCTGTGAGGTAAACGTTTGTCCTCCTGCTCTCCTCGGGGGTTCAATGAAAAGGCCAGGCAAGCATTTTCGTCCAGGCCACTTGCAAGACTGGGGTGAGGCAGTTAAAGGATGCTGGGTGCAGCCCCTCCAACTAATTGGTAGTCCTGGCCTCCCAGTTAGTTGAAGAGTCTGAGGCCCAGGCACGCAGTCTGGAATATTCTTACTTCTAGAAGGGGCGATACTCACTCCCAGCCAGGCTGCCGCCGCCTACAGAAAACAACAAAAGGAAAGGAGGCCACAGCTTGGAAATACTGGCTGTTGGCTTTAGCATTGCGCAACCGCTACTGCAGCCAGTCCCCTGAGCTTTGCCGAGGAGGAGGGAGGAGAAGCCGCGGACAGCTGCTCCTGCTTTCCTTTCTGTATCTGACCGTAATTACGCCCATACCTGGATGTATCTGACCGCAATCACGTCTAGAGCTCTGTTGAAATGTCCTATGTGAGTATGCACTAAAAGGTAGGAATTTGATTTTGACATGGCTATAAACATTACGCAGTCCATCGAAATATGCAAAAACAGCAGCATGATAACCTTATTTGATACGGTCTGGACAACTATGATAGATCCTGCGGATATCAGAGGAACCGAGCTAGGAAGGTCATCAATTTGGTCTAGAAATGAAGGTTCTTGCACTTGCAACTACCATCTTCACCTGAATACAAAGTACAGTCATTATAGCTGTACTTGGGGCAACTTTGAGTCTAGATACAGCAATAATGACCATACGCTGTATTCAGGTGAAGATGGTAGTCCACATCGTTTCTGATGAAATTGAGGTGAAGCGCTTCTTTAGTTGCTGGTCTGAAGGCAGCCACCCTCAGTCCATACCCTCTGCAGAGAAGTGCAGTGAGCAAAGGGCTCTCTTGCACTAGCAAGTCTTTGTCACAATGCACTCTAACTTTAGGCTGTGTGCTTTCCTTCATCACCAGCTCCAGAAACCACCCACTTAGTCCACAGGTACCATGGGTATGCAGCAACAGTCTCTTCCACTGCCCCGGCATGAACCGAGAAATGACATGTGAAAATAGAGGAACGAGCAAGTTGCCTCTCACCCAGGCGGACAAGCAGATCATAGTGTGACGCAAAGGTTGTTGCAAGCCCTTCAAGCGAGACTATGCTTAGATCCAGCTGGATGACATGCTCCACATGCCAGAGGGCAGCACAAATGTGGCACAGAAAAGAAGGCGATGTTCAGAAACAGGTTCCTCCAAGATAGTTCTCGATGCAAGGCATTCAGCCAGTCCATTTCCTCCTTGTGTAGTGAAAATGGATGTCGCTGGGCTACTTACCTAAGTCATACACCCAAAGATCTGACAGCCCCTCGATGTCACTTTGGCAGCCACCGTAAACATACATTTTATTAGAGTATGAAAGAACTGCTCTGTGGCCAAAACGAGGTGACGGCCCCTTGTCCTTCACTGAACTTGAAGAAGACTGCCACTGCCGTAAACCTGCGATCCACATGCATGCAAATCAGAAACAAAATTTAGGAGACAACTACAGCTACCATGAGGCAAAACAGGAAAACCATTCCTATGATGCATTGGGTTCTACAAGTTTGATATTTCTTTGAAAGCAGTTTTCGTACCTGATCCTCAAACTTTCACAGACAAAAACCAGTGCGCACAGTCATACAAGTCTATACCCTGCACAAGTATAGGACTGAAGGGAGGTGCACGGGTTGTGATACCTTATACTGTGTCAAAGGCAGAATGCTTGAAATCCAGCTACAGCTGGGAAGAATCAGTGCCGTCCAAGCACTTTGAATGCACAATATTGGAAACCCTATCATTAGCTATACAGACATTTGTGCGCCAGCAGGGCAAGAATCTGCACATCGATATTCAGGTCCTCAATATCAGTGACCTGATGACCAATGCAAACCACTAACCGATCCATAGATGCAGCGGGACTCTCTATTTACCCTGGCCTATAGCTGCGGCTATTTGAGTTTATCCCGGTTCGGCCTATGGGACCAGGGCGTTGGCTGATCTCACAGGCCATATGTTCATTCAGTCTGGTACTGCTGTCGGTACCGGTCCAGTCAGTCCAGTCAGTCTGCTGGGGGTATACCCCGGCCTGCAGTTTTGGAGTACGTGCAGTGTGAGCCCTTGGTGGTGCTGTCTCTCTCCCTCTTCAGCTCCATCTCCATCTCCACCTTTCCTTCTCCTTCCTTCTCCATGGTTACAGGATCTGCCATCCATGCAGCTCCCGTTACACTGGTATCAGGGAGGGCAAGATCCCTGCATCCCCACCATCTTGCAGCTGACAACGAGGAGCAACAGCCGCCATTGTCCTGCGGCCAGCACACAACGCCGCTGGGCTCGTGGCACCTCTCTCAGTGCTCCCTGTGATTGCGCCAGGTGGCACTTGTGTCTACTTGCAGCAGCGAACTCGGCGGCCGGCCAGCACCTTTCTCTTTTTTTCTTTTTTCTTTTCAAGTCCAAGTTGTTGTAGAGGTTGGTGTTGCATACTGTAACGTGCAGACCAGAACAAGAACCGACCTCTCAATGCAAAGTACAAGATGGGGCAAACGGAAGACTTAGATACCAATGATCCGACCAATCAATGTTGCAATGCAGCCCTGAACATACATCATCATCATCATCCCAGAGTGGGAAAGGGGTCTGGCGCTTCACACAGGAAGACTGCGCCAGCCCCACACATACATAGACGAAGATGAGGGGGGTTAGACGAAGAGGAGGGAAAGATGGGAATGTCGTCAACACCAAGTCTTCGGCACAGGCCCAAATAGTCCCTCGTCAAAATGTCTGAATCCCAAATGTCGAGTCTGTATCCAATGTCGTCAAGTCTCAGGTCATATCTCTCTCTCGTAGTCCACAGATACTGAGTGGTAGGCAGCGAGAGGGGAAGAAGAGATGGTGGACTTAGAAGAGGAAGAAGAAGAACTCTCTCTCTCTCTCAGTCCAGTACTAACCTGTGAAGGTGGCGCTGTGATGCAGGTACCTCGAAGATGGAGCTGGAGCGATGGCGCCACAGGTAAGTACTACTGGCCTCCGCCAGTCACCTCTCTCCCATATCACTACTACTACTACTGCTATAGCGCCCAGCGCTGAAGACTACAGCTATGGCGCCCAGCGCTGAATACTACACTAGCGCTAAGCTACCCTGGGCAGCGCTCCTGCTGAGTGCTGCTCTGCTATCCTGAAGACTACTACCTGACTACTGTCCAACTACCTACCCGTGAAGTGCCTGGGAAGCTCCTATGTACTACCACGGGTGCCTCCTGACTCGTGCGAGCAGTCCAGGAGGCTGCTCTTGCCAATGCCGAGGGAAGGCAGGGCTGCAGCTGCAGCTCCTGCTCAAGCTCGTGAGGAACAGGCTATTTCTGGCCTGTTCGGCATCCTTGTTTATGTGGCTGAGTCTTAGGGGCGGTCGAAACAATGAGGGCCTGAAAAAGGCCCTCCGTTTCAGGCTGGAAAAACTTTGGGTCTGAAAGACCCAGAAATAGGCTGAAACGGAGTAGGGCCTGTAGGCCCTCGTTTTTCAGCATCCAGGCTGAAACGAACGGGGCCTGTAAGCCTTAAGTTTTAGGCTTTTAGGCTGAATGTCCGGGACGGGCCCTGCTACGCAATATGCCACACCCCCCCCTCCTTGAAAGACGGAGCTTACCTGCGAGGGCGAAGCTATCTGTCTGAGGGAGGGACCACAGTCCGGGTGGGAGGGGCTGGTCGTGAAGCTTCCTGAGCTAACCTCCGCTTTTCATAATGCGCGTAGATCTGTGGTGCGGATGCTTTCAAATCTGCGCCTGAAATCCACCGAGTGTCATCGCGATCGCATGCTTTGAATGTGACTTTGTACTGCCGCGACTTGCTGCCGTACTTGCGATCGGTGATGACGCGGTCAACTTCCTGATGACCATCCATAGAAGGAGGGTCCTGCGATCGTCGGCCCGGAAAGTCGTCGCTCTTGGCTGGCGTGTAAGTTGCCAGCTTCGAGGCATGAAAGACTGGATGGACCGTCAGATGCTCTGGAATGTTGATCACAAATGAAGGGCCATCGGGCTCATCGCCCGCGGCTGCTGTCACAGACCATGGTCCAAACCACTTGGGAAGTAGTTTGCGTGAAACATCCTGTTCCAGTGCAAACTCTTTCGCGGAGACCCAAACCAGATCACCGGCGCGGATAGGACATGGCACGCGACGCCTGTTGGCTTGCTGTTGCATGCGGACTTGAGCCTTTTGCATATTCGCGCGGGCTTTAGTCAGCAAGTCCCTGTAGTTCCGAACGGAAGCGGGGGAGCAAGCGGCGTCAATGTCGGCTGGTCGAGGGAGGAGAAGGTCGGCGAAGATACGGCCTTTCCGTCCACCGTGGTGCAACTCGAATGGAGTCACACCGATCGCCGGGTGCACCGAAGTGTTGTAGGYGAACTCGATGTCGGGGAGGCGGTCAACCCAATCTTTCTGGTCCGGACGTATGAGCGTACGATGCATCATTTGAGCGGTTTGATGTGCCCGCTCTGTTTGCCCGTCTGTCTGAGGATGCCGAGCCAAACTTGGTTTCATTGTTGTGTTGGACTCCCCCATGAGAGCAGTCTAAAACGCCAACATGAAACGAGTGTCGCGGTCGCTGACAATGTCTTCTGGTACACCGTGGCCACAAATCCAACCAGTGTGCAGGAGGCGTGCCAGCTCGGGACCCGTGGAGTAGTACTTGCAAGGGAGAAAACGCGCGTACTTACTCAATCGGTCCACAACCGTGAGGATGCTGTCGTGCCAGAGCCGGTCGCGAGGAAACGGACCGGTGACGTCCATGGCAATGGAGAAACCGGGTTCCCGTGGGATAGGCATCGAGAGTAACTTGCCATAGGGATTGCGGTTGCGGGGTTTGCTGCGTCGGCAAACTTCGCAAGAGTCGCAATACCGAGTAACATCGGTAATGAGGTCAAGCCATCAGAATTGTTGTCGAAGCCGTGCAATAGTGCGGTTGACTCCGAAATGGCCGGCGAGTCGTGAATCATGATACTCGTCGAGGAGGCGAGTCCGAAGACGACGGTCACGTGGGACACATAGTAAGTCCTTGCCTCTCGAGTGGAGGAGCAAGTACCCGTTGGCAATGCGGTAATGGCTGGCCGGCCGGTGATCCGAAGATAGTTGTGCATATAGCGTGTCGAAGTCCGGATCAGACTGGTATGCCCGGATGAAGTGTCGCTGAAGCTCCTCGTCGAACGCGAAGGCATGATGAGTCATAGCGCAAAGATCAGGTCTTCGCGAGAGTGCATCTGTTGCGCGATTGGAGAGGCCGGGAAGATGTTTCGGTGTGAAGTCAAACTGGTCGATGAAGTACATCCATCGTCCGATCGTGCTGCTCACCGTATCCTGCGTCTTGTAGTAGGTCAATGGATTGTTGTCCGTAACCCATATGAACCTAGAGCGCCCAAGGAGGAAGTGTCGCCATCGCTTGAGAGCCATGACAAACGCGAGTAATTCCTTCTTCCTTGCATCATCAAGCGAGTTGATGGGAGGCTCTTTGTGGCTGAAGTACTCCACAGGGTGTCAGTCGTCGCCATCGTGTTGTTCCAAGACTGCCCCAATGCCATAGCCGGAAGCGTCCGTAGTCACTCTCGTCGGCAGGGTGGGGTCATARATGCTAAGGACGGGTGCCATGAGCATAGTCGTCTTAAGTGCTTGGAATGACCGGCGTGCGTCGTCATCGAATACGAATGGCACCTTTGGCGACTGTAACCTCGTCATAGGTGCAGCAATCCTGGAATATCCGATGATGAATCGCTGATAGTAGCCCGCCAACCCCATGTGTAACGAGCGTGAGGCTGAGGGTGAGCCGAGGGAGAGGAGAGAGAGGGAGAGAGTGAGAGCACACACACACACTCACTCACTCGACACGACTGACTGGGACTGAGGATCGGACGCAGACACCGTGGCAAGGCACAAAGTCGAAGTCTTCGATTCCGAATGCCGAAACAGCAAGTCACACTGAGTACGAGTACAGCAGCAGAGAACTGGTACGAGACTGGTCCCCGTACCGTACGGGGAGCCGACATAAGTACCGGTGACACGTACGGTACCAGGGGCATTTCTGCAAAGGCCCCGAGGGCAGAACTGAAAAATGCAGTATTTGAAAGTGGGAT